CACCGAGCATATATCTGTCTCTTATACACAGATAGATGTGTATAAGAGACAGGTTGATATCTTTGTGCCAATCCTGAAATTATCGTGTCATTAGTTTTGCCTGATCGATCCTTATGCAAGTCTGATAAAATTTGTATTTCTTTCTAGTATCAACATTCAAGTTTCGGGTCCTGCAGTGGATGCGCCTTTTCCCATTGCGACGATATTTCTTTTACGTCACGTGTACGTCGTCTGGCGTCATGATTACTTCACTGCGCTAAGGAAACTTGACCAGAAGACCTCGTATTTTGCCCCGCTCGGAACTTATAAGCCTGCTTTGGAACCAAAACCTTCCTAACTTCTGCGCTGTTACCAGAAGAGCAGTTTGCAGCCTTTTAATGAATTCAAAATAAATGAAATCTTAACTATATCTGGATGCGCCGTTGCTGCTTCCTCCCTAAGTTCCTTGTTCTGTTTTCATTAATTAAATAAACTTTTAAAATTCAAAACTCGACTGTAAAATCCTTACAATTTAGTGATTTGCTAAAATCTACGCATTCCCTTTCCGAGATATTTCGTTGAGAATAATCGGCATCAGGAAGGCGATTGATAACGATATTGCATGGTAATTTTATGAAATAGGCAGACAATTTCTTCAACACCTACTCTGGGACGTGGCGTTGGCTTCGTTGTAACAGTCAACGAAGATTATCATTGAAGAAGTTTCAAAACGTATTCGATGTTGCGTTATCAAGACCAGAGCATGCTTTTTATTAACAAATCTTCTTGTTCGTCTTTTCAACGAGTCGAACAAAATGTCTAGCTGGGGCCGGGAGATCGAAAAGCAGGTTTCCGAATGACATTTTAATAGATTGCGACGTTTCGAAAATACAATTTTCATTATCAAGCTGGTGAAGGTTTACAACACATGAAATTAAATTTTGGGAATGACAGAAGTACACTATGAATGGTATAGTGAATACAATTTAGAATTATTAGCTCAAAATTACTCAGAAAATAATTTCAGCGTCCAGACGAATCCTGCAGTTGGGAGGTTGATGGCTGGAACTTGCTCTTGATAATGAGGGCCTCGGCTATCGCCAGTCTCGATGGGTCGGGGCACCGCATAACTAACTATACTGGTGCAGGCCTCCAACGTCGCTCGGGTGATGGTCTCATTGTGAGCCTAACGCATGTGGTTCTTAGGTCCTCCAGATTGTAGATGGCATGTGAGTCGTCGGCTCAAGGTCGTGCTTGCAAGGCCAATGTAGTTCATGTTTGGAAGAAGTCTACAACCTTCTTTATTACATGAGAATTTATAAACCACATTAGTTTCTTAAAGCAGACCAGATTTTTTACAGGGATTATTATTCATTATTAGGTTTTCATTTTTTTTATTTTTGTAGTAGATCAGAAGTTTCATATTTTCGTCATCCGTTGTGCTTTTAACGTTATAATGGATGATTGTGACTGTAGGACTCGTTCAACCACTTTGTAGCCTTTGTTCATATGGTTTTGGTAGAAGACAGTTATGGGGGTCCATTAGATTTTGCTGCATTGTTGGTTCGGTTTTCTCTCGATCGGTAATTTGATATTTCAGTGTTAACTGTTCTATTTGAAAACCCATTATTCACTAGAATTTGTTTACACGATCTGAGTTCGGTTTTCAAATCACACTCGGATGTGCAGGTCTTGATTGCTCTTTGAATGAGAGTGCGCACTGTGTTGGTTTTATTGCGCCGAAAGCATTCACTTTTTTTCGTTAAGCACTTTCCCGACAACGGTAGGTTTTCGGTAAACATTAGTGACAAAGGAATTATCTTCAGTTCGCACTAATATATCTAGGCATGGCAATTTGTGATTTTGTCCAATTTCATGGGTCAAATTCAAGACTGATTCATGTTCCAAAGGTCTTCGTAGTTCGATCAAGTGCTCTTTGTCTCGAATGACATCAAAAATGTCCTATCTACGTACCTGCAGTAAAGCTCAGGCTTGATCTGTGCATTGAGCAACACTCGATTTTCCAGTTCACACGTGTATAATTCTGCAAAAGTGGGACCTATATAGAGGGCATCCCATGGCAACGCCGTTAATTTGTCGGTAAATTTTGTTATCAGGAGTACGGAAGGCAGATTCTGATGTACAGAGGCGAAGAAGGTCAATTAAGATATTTTTTGGTATAGATGGGGCTGGCAGGGTTTCGTGCGAATACACATGCTTCATGATAATTTCTAACGTTTCTTCAATTGGTACATAAGTGAACAAACTAGTAACATCCAGCGAAGCTAGCAGGCCAGAAGGGTGCGAGGCATGAATAATTTCCAAGAAGTCATTTCTAGATTTCAGAGAGTATTTCTTGGGATATATGGTTTAATTATAGCGTCGAGTTCTTTAGAGGTCTTGTATATAGGAGAAGTAACTTGCGAAATTATAGGCCTTAGTGGGTTAATTGTCTTCCTTGTGAGTTTTGACGTTTCCATAGAGGTAGCCTGGAGAATAGCTCCCAACAATCGGGGTAAGTTTTTTTTAGATCCAATTGCAGAGTTTGCCTTGTTGATCAATTTATTTGCTCTCCTCTGAAGCAGTTCTGTTGGATCTCTTGCGACACGACACAATTTGGACTCGTCCGATATAATTGCATTGATTTAAGACAGCTGATGTCGATGAGCCTCTTTTTTGGTAGCTTCAGCTCGCAATAGATCTTTCAAGTTTGGGCTGATATAGATTTTTTTTATCTTCCTTAAGTTTCAGTAGGGATTCGTACAATAGCTCGAGTTCAATTTGTTTTTTCGTCATACTGAATTTGGATGTCTTATGACAATTCAGTCCAAGGTTTAGGAGTTCTGCTAGCTCCTTGCTCAAAGTTTGAGAGGACAGGTTGACGAAGCCATTGGTAGTGCGGTAGGCAGATTTAAAAAAAATATCATCTGACAACAACTCCATTCTATCAAATATAGAACCAATTAATTGTTGTCATGTTTAGTTCGAATGTGGCGCAGAAAACTAGACCGGAAAGTGGTTCGCACAATGCATTGCCGGCGCCTGTAATAGATTGTTCGCCTATCGTTACGTCCGGAATAGTTGTCTGCGGCTGGGTTTCGTCTGCTAGAGTTTCGTCCGGTAACGTAGCGACGAGATGCAGCTCGAAATTTCGTACTGCGCCGCACCCTCATATGATATTTGTGGGTTCTGACAGGAAATTCTGGAGAACAGAAAGCAGTTGGTGCAAGAGTAAACCTGAAAGAAGAGAACTGAAAACTAATCTCCAAATGAAATGCATAGGGTTACATATTTCTAATTGGTACTTCTGAATCACATCAGTGATATACTATATTAACAATTGAACAAACAAGCACACATATCAGTTAGTATTACTTTGTCATAATTTTAGTTCGAAATGAGAACGTTGAAGATAAAAATTTTTACCATAATAAAATTTTTACCGTTAACAGGTGAGCGCACGGGGTGGGGCACAAAATTGTTATTGTGCACTTGTGGTGCCGCCTGGGCGCCCGGCACGACGATAGTAGGCGCTGACGCGACGACTCGTACCATATAAGCGGTGGATGGGTTGCGTCGTGGTTAATTTCAGGCAACTCGTCGTCTTGGTCACCCTCGTCGTCTTCTTTCTGCTCGATAGTTGTAAAATGAACATCTTGTCTCGGTTACCTGACGGATTTCGTTTTCTTCGTACTGTTAACCGAGTTGACGGATCACCAGTTTCAAATTTAAAGTCCAGCGAAGTTTCATTTTTATTTTCGAAAGCAGAGTCCGTAAACTGAAAACAAGGATAATACAGCAAGATAAATAACTTTTCCAAATATAAACCATTAATAGACAATTTAGTTCAAAATAATCATCACAAACGAAACTATGTTCCAAGAAACATCTGTATCAACAACGGTAGCTTAGTAACTTACTAAGGAGAATGCTCAAGGTGATGAAGTCTTAACAAATCTCAAGTAAACTCTGATGAAATTAAGCGGTAATGAATTCATATGAAAATCGGTAAATACAAAATAAACAAGTCAAAATTGGTACCGAGATCATGAAATGGTTATAGAGACAAACTACCGGCATACGAATGTGCGAATCTGGCATCAGTAGCTGCCGAAAGACTAAATACGAATGAGCTCCGGAAGAGCATCGAACTATCTAAGTAAAGGCCACAGGTGCCATTAGCAGGTTTTACCCCTAACACTAGACATCGAAAAAACTCGCCGTTTACTAACGCGACACATCTAATACCGTCAAACAGGGTAATAAGGAACGGGCGTGGTAATAAGCGATACTTCTGAGACATTTTGCAGGAATGTGGTAGCAGCTAAAGTGCTAAACTAATCAAAATATTGCAAAACTAATAAAAATTGTGGCGTAAAGTCCAAGATCTTTACCTACTATCTATTTATTTCATGTGTCTCTTATTACCCCGTTGGCTGCAGGCTTTAGGCCAATTTTCTCAATGACATCTGCAAAAACTGCAGAATTTCGTATCGCCACACTTCCGGTGCCAAACGATGCCATGCACATTGATTGCATGCTTCGACTACTGGTCAAATTAATATGGCTGACCTCTTGAGGAAAAAATTAATATTAAGCGTTCAATCGGTCAGTGGGTTGGAGACTCGTTCATTTCTATACACCGTACAACAAATACATTTTCAAATTCCACGTGGGATGAATGGAAGACGTGAACATATGTACTATTGCATAGTACCTGAAGTACCGGTAAAAGAAAGAACTGGCATCAAAATAAAGTTTTATTCGTAGTATTTATTCGTAATATAAGCGCCAATTGCAAGACTTCTGTTAACAGCGGAGTAGGTACTGCTTTCATTGACCCCCTCAATGCGGTTTTAGTAAATGGGACGACCGGTTGGTTTAAATGTACACGACGTACAACGCCGAGAAGTGGGGCTCGGCTCGAGTTCAGTTGCAATGCAGACGTCAATCTGAGAGGATATATGTAGCGATGGTGGACTCCAGGCTGAGCCCCGACTTTTTAAAAGCAAAGTTCATGGAAGAGTACCGCAAGTTGCCGTGCATCTGGAAGGTTCGTTGCTCGAACTATTCCAAACAAATCAAAAAGAAGTAAGGCATGGGAACATCTTGTGGGATATATGCGGAAAAATTAGTAAATGCAGACCTTAACATTGTTAAGAAAAAAGTGGATAATATTCGAGCATCATTCAGGAAAGAATTGTGAAAGATTCGCGAGAGCACGCGATGTGGTGCGTCATCAGATAATACGTACACCCCAACTTTTTGGTGATATTATGGTGGAGAACTTTAGGTCTTCGAACGACCGTCCGGTGGGTAAAAAACGTAGTGTAGCTATTAGCCGTTCCTCCGCTGCTATAGCTTTCCGAAGTACAGTGTCTCGTTTTGCTATGAAGGGTTTGACTTTGTCCAGTAGGACATTGAAGTTTTCTGCAGACATCCTTAAGTAGTTTCGACTATCGTCGCGAATGAAATTTAGCAAATTTATATGGCTGAATCTTTGTCGATTGACAAGCCATTCTTTCGACCACATGGATCGTTTCCTCCGTTGCTTTTTCACTGCCCCAAGCTCACTCAAAACGATGGCAGCAGCGGCAACTTGCCTCGGATGACTCATCTTCACGACTGGACGCTGCGAGCAAACTGCAAAGTACGTAGGTGTATGGAGAAATACCGCCAGATCAGGGGCTATACTTTCAAAATTCGCTAGGTGAACGTAAGTACTTACGCTCTATTTTATTGTCCATGATTGGTGGATTTTGCTTGAAAGGCCGTCAATGATTGGCTGATGAACTTACGATCTCTTAACTTTTTTGAAGGTATAGGCCCAGATCCGATAGTCGGAATCAGCTAGCCGGACTCGCGAGTCAGATACGCTAGTGTATGGGGCGCTGTACGAGGCTTTCTGGTTCTTCTGTACAAATTAACTTCCATGCATTTTGTTGCCGTTTTTACTGAAATTCAGGGTGTAAAGAATCCTGTATCGATTACTTAGGTTAGAGGGTTGTGGAGTACAGTAGTAAAAAACAGATTTGAAGTTCAATAGTTACTTATCAGTTTCTGAAACGAAACAAAATATCGTGTATGGAACTCGTTCAAATAGCGACATAATAAGTACTTCAACTAAAAGTAAATCAAGGATCATATTTAAATAATTCACTAACGACTTCTCACCAAATTCCTGGAGGTATGACGGTGACCTTAATAAATCTCAGCTGACAGGCGATTAGTAAATGAATTGGCGGATACAAGAAAGCTTCTAATCTAAGAGTAGTCGGTCTATAAGAAATGAGAATGCTTTCAACACCGGCCCCAAATTTGCTAATCACCGATTCAAATTTCCAAACCGAACATCTAAAATTCTTTATTGGTATAAAAAATTTCATATAAACAATAATTACACTCGATATTTACACTTCAAACATTTGATTCGTGACTGATCAATAAGACGAGTTTGGTAACAGGTTCAATTTCCAGGCTACCTATATTTAAAACAGACTTATCAGTATACTTGGTTATTCGCACCTTGGCAGAGCGATATCTGCAGTAGTAGCTTTTAATCATCTCTACTACTCTACCGAGGGACCACTGACTTTTAGGCAAGCATGAATCAACAATAAAAACAAGAAGGTCTCCAGGCTGAAGAGGTCGCCACTCGCTTGACCATTTATGGCGCAATTGCAAAAGAGTTAAATATTCGTTTCGCCAACGCGACCAACATACATCAGCTAAATATTAAGCCTGTCGCCAACGTTTTCGAGCGTAAGAATCAGAAGAGCCAAAAACGCCCGAAGGAAAAGTTGTCCACGGAGTTCAGCAACAGTAAATGATTTGGCGTCAATGCCTCTAAATCGTTAGGGTCGTCGCTCACTGGAGTGATCGGACGATTATTGAAGATACATTCGATTTCGCACATTAGGGTACAGAGATTTTCGTCTGAAAGCTTAACGACCTGTTCATTCAACAAGGAAAACAAAACCTTTCGTATTATGCGAATAATCCTTTCCCACACGCCACCAAAATGACTAGCATATGGGATATTGAACTTTCATTCAAGATCGTTGCTGCGGCCAAGGTTCGGCTTTGGAGACCCAGATGGAAATAGCTTCTCTGAGTTTCCGGTGACCGCCGACAAAATTAGTCCCGTTGTCAGACGTAAATCGTAATGGATTAACATTTCCTCTCCCACAGAGAAAGCGCCGAAGTGCGTTGATGAAGGATTCTGACGTTAACGAATGTGCCACCTCCAAGTGGACGGCGCGACTATTACCAGGCAGGTGAATATAACTCCGTACCGTTTCCCTGTAGTGCGACCACGCACCACAAACTCATCATAAGGCAACTGGCCATGGGCCTATTTCTTCAGTGCCGATACTTCTATTCTATTCTATTCGACGGGGCTCATGGCATCGCCGTGAAGCATCTACCGTGAAATTCATTGATATGCATTGCAATGACTCGCCCAGTCAAGTGTCATCTTGAGCGCGGTGTATAGCTGTCATTTTTTGCTGCATGCTTAGTTTAGATGTGAATAGCGCAGAATCATTAATTATGGACGAATGGTAACGATTATATGGACAATCGAGCTGCTAGCAAGCAGTTCATCCATTGAAAAACTTTTTAAATTTTTTATGCGGATTAATTGAAGACTCAAGCGTATAGAATCTTACCATTACTTCTGGGGACTGGGTAATTTCGCTGGCATGCAACCTTTACCAAATCAAGTAAGCTGTCTCGCATGAATTATAATTCTTTTTAGCATATCATTTAACTTATCTATCTCGGAAATACCCGTCAGCATTCGACGATCAACACAGATGTGCATCAAATATACGCCATAGCACTATTAACCGTACAAAGTAATCTGTTCGTGAACAGCCAGGCAACCGGTTCCCAAAGCACTTTAACTTGCTAGTTTAAGATAAGCTTTTGCCAGTTAGTGATCGAGTGGTCAATTGTCACATTTGAGGCGACTTTAATTGGCTGATTGGTCAGCTAATCCGAGTAAGGGTTTCAACAACTAAGCTGAGTGCCAGCAATGAGAATTGATAATGACTGTTTTTTTTTTCAACCTCTACCTGCTATAGTCGATCTGGGATGGGTTATGCGGGTATACGTGTACCCGTCGAAAGAACATATCTCCAAATCCACTCTCGAGCGTGGGTTCTAAATCACTCCGAACCTGTTAGCTGCGTTTCACTTGTGTGAAACGATCTTTTACAGACACAGGTCGCTGGATAACGAAGTGTAACACACTACTTCCCACTAGGGAGAGATCGCGGGCAATATCCACTTCTGACAGCTGGTCAAGATCAAGACTGTTGCCGTGACTCGTCTTCTGCATCTTCAGACAGTTACTGAGGTTGTGGATGGTTTTGTGATTGGCTTGTGTCGTCTAAATTAACCTTTAAAACCATTGTGGGTGTTCACCTCAGGGCTGGTTTGGGATGAAAAGCTTCACAACTTTGAATATAACTTTTCCTAGTTTTACTCTAAATTTCACGCAGATCCGTTCAGAATTGACGGACTTTGGATTGGTTTACTTTCTTGAAAGTTGCGTTTTGCGTTTGAGTCGATGGTGAGTTTTGAGAAGCGAGTGGCTGGCTAGTTTTGAAAAGTGTTCATTAATTAGGCTCCCGGAAAAGTGCCCATACGAGCTCACGGCGCTACCACCGCTCAACAAGTGTTCCTCGCGGTAAGCCGTGCGCGTAGTTGTCTCATTTATGCCTCGTTCTCACATTGCCGGTTAAAGGGCCAGACGACACCCTGAATCGATTCCTGGGGTACCGGTTATCAAACTGGATCTTAATTTTGTGTTAAAGATGAATACAATTTTTTACCTGAAGCTGATACACATTTTTGCTTTTACTTTCCGAAAAGTTGTCCTTATTCAATAAAGTTCCTTAAACATTTTAATACACTTTTTAACTTATAATACCTGTCCCCATTTACTTTAGATCTGAATATTGTAGAAAAGGTATTAAATTGAATAGGGGAACTTTTCATTAAACATTGAAAGCTTTTATTGAAAGGGGCGGGCCTAAATTTTCATAACTTACCTGGAATACCGGGGAAAAAGCCGGGCCTACCCTGGTTTTACGGCAGTTCTTACTGCTCAAACGGCTCTACCTGCTGTTTTACCGGCTTTTTTTCCGGGAATTCCCGGCGATCTACCTGGAAATCCAGGAGGCATACGGGACTTCCGGCAGGCTCCCGGGAGTACCGGGAATACGTTGACAGCCGCGGTATTGCAGCATCTCCCGGCTACTGAAGCCGGATCTCCCGGATATCCGGCTCTTCCGGGAAACCTACCGGCTGTTACGGGACAGCTACCTGGAGGGCATTACATATTAAGCCCTGCCCCTTGCATATTACGCCCTGCCCCTTATACCGGCTATAAATCCGGCATTTCAACCGGCTTGGCGTTTCCGGGACTTCCGGCTTTTTAACCGGCAATGTGAGAACGAGGCAATATACATACACGTCATCAAGAACAGTTTAGCTTAAGGTGGAATAATCTTCCCAGGAACGGTTTCACCGAAGTGCTCAGTATTGCTTGGCTTTCTCAAGGCCTGAGGTTTCCAACGTCTAAGACCCTCGAACCGCGTACAAATTACTTCCGAAGTTACCTCTACAGGTTCAAATTTTCAACCATACAATTTCAATTTGGCCTGGCTCTAGTTGCTGTTAGAAGATTGGTAGACTTAATAATTAGGTAGTGTGATTCAAGCCTTTTAGTACTATCCTTCTGTCGGGTTTTAAATTAATTGGATTTCACCATATATGGTGTAAATAATTCAGTTTTGAATAACTATATTTTCGTCCAGTCGGGCGCATATGAACATAAATTTATACTGTGATTATACTGTTGTGTCTTCTACTGACGACAGCGCCCACAATTCAGGCTGCTTTATTGGCTGAGAAGTTATATTGTCGCATGCTTTTCAATGTGTCGATTAATCTTTCTGTTCTGCTTACACTCACGTCAAATTTTCCAAGTATTGCACACATTTTACCCTCTTGTTGCCTACCCTCCGTTGTGGTTATCATTTTTCCTTTTGGAAAAATGATGTGCCGCGCTTTTGGACCCGAAAACTAGAGTTGGGCCGGGTTCACACATTACTGCCGGGCACATGCCAGTCGCGGTCCAGTCCAACATTCTTTAATGCATTTTCATATAAGCATTCACACTATGCATTGGTATGGCAGGTGTTCTACGGTTGGTGTGAATGCTTCTATAGAAATGCATTAAACAATACTAGTAGGCTGGACCGGACTGGCATATGCCAGGCAGTATGGTGTAAACTCGGCCTTATTTCATGAGCAGTAGCTAGGTCTACGGATTATCAGTTACGTCGCTTGCTTGCAGCGGTCTACTAACTCGTGTGTGGGACATACTTGTATTTCGATCAAAAAATTCCTTGACGTTTTCTATATCGCATAAATGGTAATAATCGGCTAAAATGTGAAGAAAATTAACCAAGCTCGTCTTCAAGCAAGCGAAATTGAGATATTTCATCAGTCAGAAACCTAGAACAACAATTTATTGCTTTTCGCAGAGATATCGATATTACGCCAAACACATCAAGGATACTATTAACGACTGACAGTAGTTTTCCTGGAACTAACCATAACCATAGGATGTGTCAATTCTAGAACTGAACAAAATCGTAGAATGTACTAATTTTAGAAATGACCAAAATCGTAGAAGATAGTAATCCTACAACTGGCGATAATCTCAAAATGCAGTTATGCTACAATAGGCGATTATCTCATGCATAATGTATAGTTATCTTATCCAATATTTCCAAGTCACAGCATGTGCTCTTAGCTGAAACTGCGACAGAAGCACTGCTTGTTTGTCAAGAGACTATTAACTCTTGTATATTCCTGATCATGGGCCGATATAATTTAAACAGCGATGAATTTTATAAGTTGGGTTTTATTTTCAGTGAACTTGAATGCAGTTAAGGATGGCATTGAGCAAATTTAAGTGCGTGGGCACGGCTGGCGTCCCTGCCATGGGTCGGTATCATCAGCTTGGTCACGGTATCATCAGCTTGTCACGGTATCACCAGCTTGGTCACGGTATCACCTACCTTGGTCACGGTATCATCTACCTTGGTCACGGTATCATCTACCTTGGTCACGGTATCACCAGCTTGGTCATGGTATCATCTACCTTTTTCACGGTATCATCTACCTTGGTCACGGTATCGCCAGCTTGGTCACGGTATCATCTACCTTGGTCACGGTATCACCAGCTTGGTCACGGTATCATCTACCTTGGTCACGGTATCATCTACCTTGGTCACGGTATCATCTACCTTGGTCACGGTATCATCTACCTTGGTCACGGTATCATCTACCTTGGTCACAGTATCATTATTATCATCATCACTATATGTGGGTATAGTTACACCGCAACTCTGCCCGGATCAAGATTTTCAATCATCACTTCGTCGCTATTTTCCATTTTTTAAGATCAACGATAATACTTTACATTGTTTTAGAATGACAAGATGATGTTAAACTTGTTATGGATTTATACACAATTCTATTAATGATTTACTTCACAAAGTTTGTGGTATTGGATGTTTTTTTGACCATAATGAATTCCATGTCACACCAGTAGAATTTATCTCGCACGTAAATGGACCTCTGAGCAAGCGCAATTTTCGTAACAGCGAATATTATTTGAACAATACGGCATGTGACGGCCCTGGTCATCCACTACACTGCACTTAAATTTGATTTCAAACGATATGATCTTGATCAAATCCATTCGGAATGTACATCAACTATTTATTATTGTTTGACGAGTCTATCTTTCCTGCTTCAGAATATTAGCGCGTAGTTAGCTGTGTTTATTATGCCCTAGTGGGAAGCTGGTAGAGGTAGCGCTGCTGCAAGTGCCAGGTATATAAGACGCTACCCACAAGACACGGCCACGCAGTGCTCCTTCCGCAGCTGCAGGGACGAAAGGTAATTTGCTAAGCTCTCCTGACCAAAATAAGGAAAAGAAAGTGGAAATGACAGCAATATCTTTCGATTGCATTTGAATCAATAATTATAATGTTGTACTGATTCAATGATGTGGCTATCCGTCTTCTAGTTTTGAAAATGGTATAATTTGCTCTAAAATTATTCACTATTACCATGTTCAATTTCATGTATCGTTGGTTAGTCCCATATCAGTGTTAACTTGCGATCCGCGTTTTCAATACATGCCCGTCCGAAATTCGTTCCAACAACAATCAATCTCGTTCAACAATATATTAATTTTTTCCAGCTAACCACAAGACATAAACCAAGGCGACAAGGAATCAATGAAAGCTACGAGATGCAAACCAAGTTCTCTCTTGCAACAGTTGCCGCAGTGCTTCTAGTCACAGCAGACTGCTGCGATGCTGCAGTAGGTTACGGTCGTGCTGCTGCTCATCCAGGTAACTAGTTGCATATTCTTAGTTATCATGTTTCTTACCTTGCCATTATTAAGTTCTATCATTGAGTATGGCTGATTAAACTCAGAATGATATCCATGCATAACGTCAAACCGTTGAAAACTGCGTTATATTTCACGTTAGTTCTTAAATCTTCCACTAAACATGAGGCCTCAAGCCCACCCCTCTTTCCGCAGCGCACCCCAACTCGTGCTACTTCCCGAACCTGAACCTGGCGGTGCGGGCGGGAGCCAGGAAAATTCCAGAGGGCCACTGCACGGCACTCTTCTGCGACAGGCGGGCAGACGGGGTCCTCTACTACACCCAGACAGGGTGGGTAGACGGGGCGTATATACGGGGTTCTCTACTACACCCAGACAGGGTGGGTAGACGGGGCGTATATACGAGGTCCTCTACTACACACGTACGGACAGGGTGGGTAGACTGAAATATAGAGGGTGTTTCCAACTATACCCAGATTGGGTGGATGGTCGGGGGTGTGCACGGAGGGCATGAACTGCTAAGGGAGTAGAGCAGAGGTCCAGTTGGTTCCTTTGATGCGAAAATAAGTAGATACATGATATGGTTGTCATCCACGTCATGTAAGAACGAGTAAACATATAAGATGGTTGTCTTCTAATTCATGTAGATCACGTAGGAACAGGCAGTTAGATTAATTTCAGCTTAGTTGATTCCATTGTCATTCAACGTTTCATTCCAAAGGTGCGATTTCTTTATTGATATTTTCATCTGGACAAACCATAATGAAAGCAATTTATGTTTCGCAAGCTATCAGTTCTTATTCTCGTCTTAATATATCTTAATATCGCCTTAAATAAGTCAAAAATAAAATATCAACTGTCTTTTTAAGAGTCAAGTTCAGAGAACCGCACCGGAAAAACTAGAAACGGTCCTAAGATCGTTTAAGAACCGCCATCGATATCCTGATTACTCAAAGACGGTCAATATTACGCTGTTCAAGGCAGCGGGCGAATTAAGGGTGGCCGATGAATTGCCGACGATCTACCGAAAGCAACAACTCGCCGAATCTAGTCTTTTGTTCTGTTGCTTGTAGCCACCATTTCAATAAGAAACAACTACCGCCCAATAGAAATCATCGTCAAACGCGTACACCAACTCTCCTTAAACATAATAACATGAGCTTTTATCCGTCGTAAGAACTGGGATTGTCGATTTGTATTTATTCGTTAGTTATAACTTTTTGGCTCTAAATATCTCTAGCAAAGTTTATTGTTGAAAGTCCTTGTTATACCGATTACATAAAAAAACTACTCGAACGAAAGGCAGAAAATGAAGAAAGGCACACACAGTATCGATTACTGCAAAGAATTTTCCTTGAGGATCGTTACGTCTTACAATGTATAAAGTGCGTGCGATCATCCGCAGATTGCAAATAAATGCCCGATTGGCATGATCAAATTTGAACTGTTATCTCATTTGCAAAGTTACGACGGTTCTCATTCGTCTCAAATATACTAAAGTTATTATGCCACACAGTAACGGGGCTAGTGGTGCTGGATCTGTCCCTTAAGCGCCCAAGCAGTTGGATGGCGCAACCTCCTGGCTTTAACGTCCCCTTGAAAGAGGACTTGGGGAAAGAATAACGGATGATAGTGAATTCCTCCGACATTTGTCCCAATAATTCAAAACTAGTAAAAAAAATGCATAGAATCTTTACAAATTCAGGCTATAAAATAGACAACAGTGTCGGAGATCACGAACCGTCCGTTAGGTGAACTTTACCGGTTCTTTCATCCTACTCCGGTCCTTATACTTCGTCATCGGGTGTCAGTGCCCGAGTAACCCTGACCCGTACTAGGTTGCTCTACTGTGACGTTTGCTGGGTAATCCTGATGTAACCTAACTAGACAACCATGATGTAACCCTAACAGACAACGTCGGTGTAACCCTAACAGACAACGTCGGTGTAACCCTAACAGACAACGTCCGTGTAACCCTAACTAAACCTAGTAACCCTGTACGCGTTGCAGGTGCGGCTCGATCGGAAAGGCTCCCCCAGGCTGCAGGACCGTCACGGTTCATGGACGTCGCTACCCCGCCTGCTGTCCTGAGATCGTGTGCGACCAGCCTGCACCGTGATGGACCTGTGACATTATTAGCCATTTAGCCCCAACAGCAAAAAGAGGGCCAAAAATGGCTCTCACGTTGCATTTTTCAATTAAAATGCAACGAGAAATATTACTGGCTGTTCTTTAGAGTTGCTCCTCAAAAGAGAAAAGTTCCTTCTATTGGACTAAAAATATTATGTTTCAGTTGATTTATGTTTGATTTCCTATTGTCCGATAAAAAGAGTTTTACGTGCAGACAAGGCATCGAGTTGCATTTTGTGCGTTACTGATTTTTAAGTGGGAATGTCGATGACATTCTGGCCGATGATTGTCAGTTTCTGCACTGTTTCCATAGAGAAGAAATCTAGTCTATTGATTTCTAGTGTTGGAATGTTCCGAAGTCTAGAATAGTATTTTTGCCTGACTATGGCGAGCAACAATCTATAATAATGAGGTGTAGTAGAACAATCGATGCTCGATGTAAGTGTTAAAGACCAGTTATTCACTACATTATCTGGAGAACATTAAAGTCCTGCACAGGACGCTGAAGCTTGTTGCTACCTTGTGGGCAAGTCATCCTTCACACCCGCTATTTTAATCCGTTGTCTACGGCTACATCAACCGTTGTCAATGATATTCGTACCTGAAGGCATGGAGACGAGTTTCTGTAGGATTTAAATGATTTTCATGCGAGGTCCAAAAGCTCTAAATCAAGGTCGCGATTAAAGGCCTGCGTCTTTGTTCGAAAATTCTGGTGCAGCGATCCCGCTATCCCAAAATATTATCTTATGAAGATGCATATTTTAAAAAAATGTACTATGAATATACTAGTATCTTTGACTACAACAGACGATCATCCTTGCTTCATCAACTCTGTCAAAGATAGTTTGATTACTGTACCATGCAATGATGCCGTTGGGCCATGCGAATAGCAATCAATAATCTTTCAACAATATGAAGTGGATAATTCACGACGACTGAACAAAAATATTTACTAAATATTACTGCAGATTAACAGAACGCAATACTGTTTCTTTTATGAAATATGATTTGCAGGAAGAACGTAACGCGCGTGAGTGGAGCGAAAATGTCCTCTGCTCGATTATCATACAATACAGTGGGGGGAAATAAATATTCGTACACTTGAAAAATCGTATTTTAATGTATGTAAGTACACAAACTTAACAGGAAAAGTGATTTAAATTATGTATAGTCTGTATAGAGATGCATAGTATTCAAAAATACTATCAAAAGAAATTAAATGTCAATGCAACAAAAAACAATGCAACATGTTCACTTTTCGGGTGAAAAAAGTATTCGTACAAAACAATAAATCCGCATTATTTTAATTTAATACTTGGTTGAATACCCTTTATTCAGCTCAACAGAAGGCATGGCGACGAGTTGCTGTAAGATTTAAATGATCTTCGTGCGAGGTCCAAAAGCTCAAGGTCGCGATTAAAGGCCTGCGTCTTGGTTCCAAAATTCTAGTGCAGCGATCCCGCTATCCCAAAATTTTATCTTATGAAGATGCAATTTTCAAAGAAATGTACTACGAATACTCGTATCTTTGACTACAACAGACGATTATCCTTGCTTCATCAATTCTGTCAAAGATAATTTGATTACTTTACCATGCAGTTATGCCGATGGGCCAAGCAAATAGCCAGCAATAATCTTTCAACGATATGTAGTGGAAAATTTAAGACGATTAAACAAAAATATTTCCTAAATTGTGTTGCAGGTGAACTGAACGCAATACTGTTTCTTTTATGAAATATAATTTGCAGGAAGAAGGTAACGCGCGTGAGTGGACTGAAAATGTCCTCTGCTCGATTATCTATATAGGATTGTTTTGTACCTGCTCGGAGCATTAAATTTATACACTTTTGAAATAATTCTCGGTAGTCACAGGCACAAAATGCGCCGTTTTACTTGTCTAAAGTAACAAATTCGTTGGCTTTTGAGAGTAAAATATCAAAGAAGGATTTTATTTGCATGGTCCTCATAGGATTTTGCCTAAAGGATCCCGAACGAGTAATTGAGTTCAGCGCAGAACAGCACGCAGACTGCATGCTTAATCGCGATGGAATATTTATGAGAATCTCGGGGCTATAATTTATTCAATATGGTGGGGAATAAAATAGTCTGGTCTAAAAAACAGGCAAGAAAATATCTATAAAATTAGTTTATTGATTACGTGATAGCGCTTCCCTCAGGATACATAGAAGCAGTTCCTGCAACGTTTCAGCAACTGGCAGGCAAGTGCTGGTGATTGATTATATTTTCCATATGTTATACGTATATAATTCCGTTATATCTCCATGTGCTATATATCCATGTGTTATATATAAATATTTTAGGTATCCATATGTTATCTATCCAGGTGTTATACATACAAGTGTTACATATGAAGAGAAAATTCAATATGTGAGAACCCATTAGCATATATTACTCATATTTTATTTATTTGAAACCTCTTCAACCTCCATTTATTCCTGTTGTCCTCAAGGAATTAGGTGTGATATACAATTTCAGATAATCGGGTTAGCGGTTAACTAGTAGGTTAGCTGTTAACTTTCAGGTTAGCTGTTAACTATCAGGTTAGCTGTTAACTATCAGGTTAGCTGTTAACTATCAGGTTAGCTGTTAACTATCAGGTTAACTCTTAACTATCAGGTCAGCTGTTAACCATCAAGTTAGCGTGTATGTTAATTAAAGGTAGATCAGTTTAAATTCGTAGTTTAAACAGAACTCCCATTTGACTCTTGTTACAAACAATGAGATAAAACTGTTTGTGTCGCTGAAGTTAATTTATAAATTCGAATTTTAAAACAAATTTCAATAATTATACAATCCTTTCCTCTCACTTTTGCAATGCCTAACTATCCTCCCACCATGGATAAATTTTCAGGTCCCGGGCCTATACTTTAAAAAAAAGTTAAGAGATCGTAAGTTCATCAGCCAATCATTGACGGCCTTTCAAGCAAAAAAATCCACCAATCATAGACAAGAAAATAGAGCGTAAGTACGTTCGCTTAGCGAGTTTTGAAAGTATGGCCCCTGGTAAATATATCGGCGCCAGGCATCAAACGAACACACATACAAACACTGGTGAATATTCTAGTTTTTGGTTTTTAGTTTTTGTTTTATTTATACAATAGATCGAGTCAAAAATTGCATGAAAATAATGCGAGAAATTCTTCTTTGTGTTATTCATTGATTTAAGTGCGTTTCCTACTGTGTGTCACTCATTACCGACTGCAAATAAATAAATGAACCTACTTCACCTGACTTGTCTATATGTTCACTCGCCTGAAAAATTCATATCATATATATCATTTCACATACAAATTTGCATTAACGTCGAATTCGTGAAAAAAAAATTACCTGAGCATAAAACGCAATAAGGGATGACACCGATTAACGTGTTTTCATATAAACTAGATGTTGAAAAAGTAAAGCCGGGGATGAAAATCTAATCAATCGAATCATGATTTGCCGAGCAATTGAGAATGTTTCGGAAACTCGTGATGAAAATCATGGACCAGACATCTTGAACAATTGCAGCTGCCACGGCAGAAACCATCCCGATGTAGCGAGAAGGAAAGCTCGATGCGCCCACCGCGCTCTCCGGCCAAGTTTGAAAAAAAATATAACTCGGTACTCACTGCAGTGAGTGACAGAAAGCATTTTCTCGTCGACGAAAACATGAGGTCACGGACAGACGGACGGACAGACAGACGGACGGACGGACATGGCGAGCACAATAGTGCATTTTTTCCATAAATGAGAAAATGCGCTAAAAATACAACTCGATCGGTACTCATTGCAGTGAGTGACAGAGAGCGACTTTTCTCGTCGACGAAAACGTGAAGTCACGGACGGACGGACAGACGGATATGGCGAGCACAATAGAGCATTTTTTCCATAAATGAGAAAATGCGCTAAAAATAAGATCAATATGCCCGAATAAATCAGACATAATGGAGCAGGGAAAATGTGTAAATGTTTCTACTAATAAACCGAATATACTCATTACTTACAAGAAAATAAAAGTGCTTATGCTAAAATTTATCTTTAAACAAATGCCTTCGTATCTTAACCAAATAGAAATTATTACCGCAGGTCCCGATTAATATGATAATGAGCATACAGATTAAAATAAGATGAGAAATTACGTTGAAAGTATGTTTATTTTGATACTATTTTCATTGTGAAGCTATTTTTTATTTTCTCAACAAATGGAGAAGACTATACGAGAAGAAAATTTGAATAACGTTTGGAAATGCATCGTGGGCACTGCACCTGCATCGCTAAGCCAAAACACTGAATAACATATAGAAGTGTTGGCACTGAAGAAATAGGCCCATGGCCTGTTGCCGATTCTTGAATTTTTCGTGACTTGATTCACAAGGGACTGACGTCCGCAATCCACGTTTTGACAGCGGTGGATTGCACTTCTCTTATATACGACGTAGCATTTCCACGACGTTTGGTGTAAACTTGAGTGCGTTTCTTAAATGTTAAATTCTTTGTCAAGTTGCTTTTTAAGACGACCAATGATATGAAAAGAAATGATAGCAAATGATATGCAAAAATTTCAGCTCCTACCTGAAATGCCTAGCGTCTTCAGGTGAAAAATTGTTTGGAGAACGAACGCAGCTAGAATAAAACCCAACGACATTGATGCGATGAATATAATTTTGAAAGAATTTATTGACTTTTATTTGGTTTGCTAAACTCAATCGAGACAATGAGAAAAATTTTGCCTCATATTGACAATTTTTTAAATTGAAGCTGACCTTATAAATTAAACTTTTCATTAATACATAACCTAATATCTACAACGATGTTCCTGCCTGCATTGATTCTCAAATATTTTCTCTTGATTCCAGAAAAAATTAATCAATCTCATGGTTATTAATTGCCTGCTATAAGATAAGTGCACTCACGCGTGTTTTCCTGTTTATTATTCCACACAACAAACATCTTGTGTTTGTTGTGTGCTGCTGACTTGCTGGTGCACATCCGCTGGTGTGTCTAGCAGCTCTTCCTGCCCCTCACCTGCCCCTCTGCTGCCCCTCCTATTGTTGCCCCTCTGCTTTTCCACTCATATCCATCTGTGCCCTCCCATTACCCTCTCGTTACCCTTCCTTTTCCCTCCAGGTTTCTTCCATTTCCCTTCCCTTTACATTACCGCTGACCT